TCAGATAATGCTTTTGAACCATCTCATTCACCAGCACACATCAATCCGGCTCCTGGCTTCTGTCAAGGAAACATTCCAAAATAATGCATTATTTTATTTCATTGACCACCTTGCAAAAGACAAACAGCAAACACATCACCACCAAAAACAAAAATAGTCAACAGGTAGGTACCAGCTGATCTAGCCAAGCTGTGTCATGTGCCTTTGAAAAACTTGAGCAGTCAGGGTTGAATAAACACCCCAAACTTAGCCATTCATGCATGAACAAGTGCAAATTCTGGTCGAGCATTTGAATAAAAATGAAACGAACAGCATTGTAGGTTACAATAAAAAAAAACAATTACAAAAAAACAGCAGAGCTTACTCTAGAAGGCATAACCATTAATTTTATAACTGACATCCAAATTCGCATCTCCGAAGTTTAACCCACCTACCAGCCACCTGCACATTTCTGCGCACATGTGCGGCGCAGTGTGCACAGTCACTACACATTACACAATTATGAGAATTAAAATAGTTTTAAACAATCAAGCAAGTCAGGACTGGTATGCAGATTCACAAGTTTTCTCAACATCTTCAATTACCAACAATCAAGAGCACCTTGTGATCTCAGTAACTCTGCAGATCCATCTTCTGTTTTCCATTTTCAGTTTTCAATTGAAATGTAAGTTTCATCTGGGAGACACATGTTGCATCATTATGTTTAAACAATTATTATGCTTGAACTTTTGATTTTTCATGTGAACTTCACTTCAAAAGTTGATTCTATTTTAAAGTTGATACAATTTGTATAATGCTACGATCACGGCGCACCAAATCACAGATAACTTGAAAATAACCAAGCAAAAGCCAAATTCTTCAGCAAACTATGAGAGCTATCTGATCCATGCTGCGTTGAAATAATTGAAAATGGCCAAAATCAGTCAAAATATGACAATTAAATTGTTAAAAACTTCACAAAACTCTGATTTGTGAGGCAATGCGCAACAGAAATGCGAGGGAATATGGTAGTAATCTGGTAGCAATTATGAAGGATTTCCCCTGTCGCAGATGAAAAAACACTTGTAACAAATTTTTCAACGCAGAGGAAATCCTTCATTATGAGTTGCAGGGACCATTTGATTGGCCCATTTTAGATAAACATAGGCCGAATATTTCGATTTCAACCCCATTTATCGTAATGAGACGAATCCATTGGCTTAGTGGTACGTCTTTTGAACACATGTAGGCCTTAGATTTCTCCTTAGCCCGCCTGAAACACACCATGCTTTGCATGCATTTCTATGGGTGAAGGAAAATTCATGCGCCGTGATGACGTCACGTAAAGGAATTCTGAAGCTCGTGAACGGGGGCTGGGTAGAACTAACTCAAGGACAAAGGTCAAAACTTCCCCCCTCATAGTTTTCTTCAAAATAAATAAAACGGGAATTTCATTAGAAAACGGCAACTTTTACTTCCGCTTAAAAAGTTGTATAACATGTAGTATTTGGGCTGCAAACGAATTCCGACATTATAGCGCCATTCTGGGGGATGTTCAGTGGTTCCAAGAGCAACTTCATTTAGTTCCGTACAGCCATGACAACTTTATAGACAAACATTTTCGGAATAGCGATGTGGGGTTATTTGGCCGGGACTAACGGGGCAACTTGGCCGGTGCGCTCAGGGTCGCTTTGCTGGGACGGCCAAGTTATCATGGTCAATTATAACATAAATGACATAATTCATGACCAACTTTGACTACCTTATTTCCTATTGGACAGCTGTAAGGGCATGTGACGTCATCAAAGATAACCAAACGTTTTTTTGCTAATAAATCCGAACAGAAAAAAAGATTCTCTCTCGCTCTCGCTCTCGCGTGCGCGCTCTCGCGAGAGCGCATTAATTTAGGTGATAACATATAGGGGAGACCCGGGAGGTATGGCCCCCCGGAGGTATGGGCCATCGCAGTTTTGGAGAAGTGTTGCGTATTTTTACACATTTGACCGCGTAAACTGGTAGCAGCCATTCCGTTATACAACCCACGTGATTTCCAAAATCTTCCTCAGTCTTCTTTGGCAATGAGCGGTGATAAAGCGTGTTTGCCCTCTTCGAGTGAAATACGGTACATACAAGAAAATTCGTGATAAATTTGAACCAGGCTCCTTTTGTGATGTCAGACCATCGCCAGCATAAAGTTTAACCCTCGCCGGACCTATTGGTTTTCTACATACGCGCCGGCCGCGGGGGGGGGGGCGGGTACGACCCCCCCTCGCCGTTTCGCCCCTGGTGGAGCTAGCGCGTCGCGGAAAAAACGAGCGTGTGCGCCGTTACGAGACGCAGAGATTGGTACCCGATTTTAAGGTCCTAGGTCAATCGGTGACCTCTGAGGTCAGGTCAAGTGCCCCAAGGTACGTTTCAGTTTTTGGTGAATAACTTCGCAAAAAACGGCCACAGAGCCACGATTTTGGCAGCATCGTGTTCGCCTTGCTCAGGCGCGTGGAATGATATACATTTTGTCCGGGTCAGGTCAACTTGGGGTGTTGACCTCAGGTCAAGGTCAGGTCAGCACCCCCAGGTCACGAAGTTGGTCGAAAGAGGTCATGTCGCATATCATTCGATTCGGCAGGTCTTCCTGAGTCCATTGGTGGCTTTCCCGACTCGCTAGCTCAATTTGATCAAGAGTTATTGACGGAAAACTAATATGACCTTGATGACGTCATAAATGACGTCACGCAAGGTCAACATTGCAAAAATGACGCATCTAACCTTGCAAGGAGTGCATCAAATCACGATTCTGTGTGCTTGAGATAGTTGATCGTTCCCGGCGCCAGAATAGCAGTTTTCATTTTTCCCCATAAACTTATAATGGTGAGGTCACGAAAATGACCTGACCTCATATGACCTTTAGGAAAAATCCGAGATATACAAGTTGTGAGACTCATAATGGATACTAGATCCTGCAAGTTTCATTTCCCTGTGACATCTCCTCTGGCAGTGAGGGCGTTGCGAAGTTGCGACATCTGAAGACCGTGCAGTGGTTCACTTACGACGTCATAGGTCAGTGACCTGACCTGACCAAAAAATGCGGTTGATGTCAAAAGATCCGGCTTGAATCAAAGGTCAGGTATGCCAAGTTTCAGCTCTCTATCGCCAGCGTGTTCGGAGTTATCGCAAAAAAAACCTATGGGGGCCGGCACCCCCCTCGGCCGGCGAGAGTTAAAGCATGCAAATTAAGAATGAATAGACAATTTGCAGCTTTCTTGCAAGATTATGAGCTGAGATGCTACGCACATTCTGGCGTCCGAACCAGGAGGTTCGGGCCACCCACCCCGTTGATCCTAAATAAATAAAAAGATGCTTTCATTGAATGTCCCCGTCAATAAGTTTTATTATTATCGCGCAAGGTCGAAAATTTAACTTCAAATTTCATTCGAACAGAAAAATATTATTGATCTTATTTCATGGTGCATGACTGAGTTTACCAAAATACATATGGGCCTCCATGAACTAAGCTGTTGGCCGCTTATGCGGTTCCTGGGCTCTAAGAGAGATCAAGGTAGATACCAGCTACGAGTATTATCCCACGAGTTGCTGGGGGGGGGGGGGCGTTAAACGCCCCCACTTTTTTCGCCGGGCCATAGCATAAAAACGGCGCGCCAAATTTTGGGTACCTGTAGAGAATGGATTGAAGTTTATTGTGAGTGTGACAGAGTTTCAAAAAAAATCGGTCGAAAAATTTTTGAGATATCGAGGTTTTAGTGACGTCATGATTTCTGAGTTTTCGACCAAAAACGGCATATGTTCAAAAAATCATATAAAATCACAGAATAGACATACAAACATGCCGTAAACGCCATTAGACTGCCAATACCATGATCAATCAAATGGCTATCTTCGATTATTGAATTATCGTTCCGCATTTTCCAAAATCTTGAACTGAATCTTGGCAATTTTTCGTGACCATGATACATGAATTTCTTAAATTGAACTTTTTGAGCCAAACACGTACACATATGATAAAATGAATGTCACCATCGTGTTCTACGCCCCAAATTACCTATAAAACATGTGTCACAGGCTGCGAATATCAGTTTTGATTTTCGGGGATATGTGCCTACCCGGTTGACCTGAACTTGACCCTGACCTATGCTTGACTGACCCCTATATGGAGCTGACACTCTTGTAGGCCTTATAAGATGGATTGTGCACCGTTTTGACAGAGTTTATGGCGAGAGGCACCCATTGCGAAGTCCTGAAGTCCATGCTACTGAAAGCCCGATTTCAGGTGTTTGACCTGACCTTGACCCGACCTTTGACCTCAAAATTCAACTTTAAAGTACTCATCTGAAGCGTCTCGTCGCGCTCTTTCGTTTGCCGCATCGTGCGTTTCGCTGCGCCTATTGGTTCTCGAGTTATCGGCTGGGGGCGTTTAACGCCCCCCCCCCCCAGCAAACGGTGGGTGGCGAAATACCCCAGCAACTGCCGGGTTATTCTCATTGTCGAGAAAATAATATGAAACATGGCACCGGCCCATACCTCCCGGGCCATGGCCCATACCTCCCGGTGTATTTTGATGGATCGAAAAAGCACATGATTTATTTAAAGTTATCTCGAGACAAAATAGTTGATCCCAGATGCCTAATACCAGGCAAACGTTGCAGGCGAAAGGCAACTTCACATACACAGAGTGAAAAACCGGGTCTAGCCACTGCCTTCTGGAAGAAAATTGCATTTTCACAAAACCGGCCCATACCTCCCGGGTCTCCAATACCGTATTTTACTCGAAGAGGGCAAAAACGCTTTATCACCGCTCATTGCCAAAGAAGACCGAGGAAGATTTTGGAAATCACGTGGGTTGTATAACGGAATGGCTGCTACCAGTTTACGCGGTCAAATGTGTAAAAATACGCAACACTTCTTCAAAACTGCGATGGCCCATACCTCCGGGGGGCCATACCTCCCGGGTCTCCCCTATATGTTATCACCTAAATTAATACGAAATTCATATAACGACGTCCCACCTTTGGAGACGGGCGACTGACGTTCACTGAGCTCATCCTTGGGAGCAGTGAGATCCCCGGTAACATCACTGGACGGCGAACGGTCTTCTCTGAGCTCCACCTTGGGAAAGCTGGCGTCCCCTCCAAGGTTACTACCATCGGATGGCACCTGGAAACAAAGTGTTTGACTGAGTTACTGGCGTTGACACTGGACGCAGTACCAAGGCTTTAGATGAGAGGCCCGCTTACTTTTGTCTACTGCTTACCTGGTCTGTTCCACAAGGTTTTAGCGCAATCGAGCAAGCCGTCCTTAAGCTGTAGAGGCGACCCCTTCAGGAGCATACCATGTCGCTGATATCTCTAACCACCATGGTTGGGGCACTAGCATATCCGATCCGAACCGCCGTTACAGCTTTGAGAGCGTAACCGGCTAGGCCGTTCTTGCTCTGCACAAGCAGTCCATGCACGTGTGCACCCTCCCTAGTGTTCCCATGTAAGGCGAGATCCCTACTGAAAGGTGGACTAGAGGCCGGTGGCGCTGATGCGCCTCCTTGGACCGGATTTGGAGAAGAAAAAAAACATCGCTAATGCCGCGCGAAAGAAAAATGAAAAAGAGAAACACCCTCAACACGCCGCTAAAAACGCCACCGCAAACGCCGCGCGAACAAAAAAGAAAAAACGCACGCAACACGCCGCCAAAAACGACACCGCAAACGCCGCGGAAAACAAAGGAAAGAAAACGTCCGCAAGCAGCCGTCAAACACGCCACCGCAAACGCCACATGAAACAAAAAGAAATGAAAAACGCCCGCAAACCACCGCTAAAAACGCCCAAGCAAACGCCATAAAAAGTAAAACGCCCAACCGCAACCACCGCCAATCGCAAATGTGAGAAAAAAGGAAAATGTCCTCCTGCAAAACCACCGCCAACAACACCACCGCAAACGCCACGGAATATAAAAGAAAAACGCCTACCCGCAGCGGACCACCAAAACCCCATAATTTACCGAAGCCAGATGATCCCCGATCGAAAAAGCAATCCGCCTCTGGCACGTGCCAGGTTAACACGCGCAGTGGAAGGGTTGCAAGTACTACGCCCATTGGAAGGGGGCGGATGTCGCCCCCCCCCCCCCCCAAGATCTCAGCTCCCACTGGAGCTAGAAAGACGAAATTTGGAGGGTAGGTAGGGCCCTGGGGAACTCTGTTGTGTGTGAATTTCATGATCCTGGGTCAATATCTTCAAGGTCAAATGAGGTCAAATGCGGTCAAGAATGTTTAAATAAATATATAAAATCATAGATAACAGTAGAACTGGATTTGACACGAACACTGCCTATCTGCAGTAGGGGACCCAAAAATGTCAATGATATCGATCAGCCTCGGAACGCAACCGCATGTCTCAGAGGCATGCGGTTTTCTGCTATGAGTAGCCCCATTGGCCCCGCTTCATTCACTACTATTGGCTATTCATGTGTGAGGTGCCCACAAGTCGGAATCACGTGCCTCGTGGGTGGTGTCCACAGGGTCTTTTCGCCTCTCCTCTGAAATGAACGGTCCGATCCCAAGTAAAATATACGTGTATATATATCGCAGTTTTCATTAATATATATTTGCGAAATTTATTTCCTGAATATATAGCACTAACTGCGCCACTTCATGCAATCAGGCCTGTGTATTGAAAGTTATATTTTTCCGACAAATATTAAATAACCAGCATGTTTAGATAAACAACCAAAAATAATTATACAGCCAGCATGTCCAGTATGCTCAGCTCATCTCTGTTTGGGCCTTACCAGCCTGCATGCGGCTCTTAGAATCACGTCGTAGGGCACCTGTGATCCGTGTGCCTTGGTGACACAGGGAGGCCAACCTTGCGGGGCTAACAGTGTATCAATTGTTCAGTTGACTTGCCAGTTGCCTTTTTCAGCCAGTCTGCCCTTTTCCATACTTCAAAGCGTGCTGACGGTCGCTCATGGCCTCCTGCTTGAGGCAGCCAGCTGAATAGTCTTAGAGGCGCGTGGGGGCATCTGACGGCCCTCGCCACCGTCACTAAACCGTGCTGCCTCACGTCACTGATTGGAGGGAAGATGAGACCAAAGATGCGGCGCCGCACCATCACCAGCGTCGGGGATCGCATCAAAACGTGATTCAGACAACCGGTCTCTTGCAGGCACTTCAATGCGCCATTGCAGTTCATGTTGTATTCGTAGTCGTAACATTCGATGAATTCCGGTGACGGATGAACAGATACTGTGCAAAGCCAGGTCAGTGTCCTCGGTCACTCTTGGTTGGTTCTCACTGCGTCCGCCCTTTTCTAGCAGCGCGCGAGGCGGTGGAAGACGCTCCTCCATCATTGTGAGGTACCAGCCAGCTAACGGACAGGGCAGTGGCGCAGGCACGTGGGTCTCCTATCGCTGTTCAGCATATATTATGACAATGTGGTCAGATACATCCTCTTGAATGAGAGCTGCTTTGAAGCTGCAGAAACGTCTGTGGAAAGCTGCTCCAGGCGCTCATTCCCCGGTAACCGCTTTGGGGTGGTATCCACAGTGCAGAATCGGCGGATCGCAATCACTCGCTTCGACTCCAACAGACAAGTTGAAATCAAGATTACATGATGCGTTCTCTGTGCCATGAGCCCCCCATCTGCAGCTTTCAGATGACCAACTGCACGTCGGTGCAGTGCTGACCAGCACGAGGAACGATCAGCCCCGTTCCGTACCCTGAGCAGAGAGAGCCAGCGTCGCCTCACAGCTCGCGTGATTTGTCTCCCAGCAGCACCAGTAAGGCTTCCGTACCTTCGTTGGTGATTTTCTGTTCTGAGTCCACTGTAAGTACCAACTGGATAAGTCCAGATCGTACATACATCCCGCCACAGCCTATCTGCTGGTGAGAGATGAGCTTTTGAACCACGGTCAGTGGTCACGTAGATCAGGCTAGTGAAGACGACGCGCTCCACTAACTCAGATTATAGGCGTTGGTAGGCGCGGTCGATCAGTATGAGTAAGAAAGACTTTACTTGTCTTACTTCGGAAAGCTTTTTGGTCACAATTCACAGTAGCAAGTAGCGTCTGCTCAGTTACAAGGTGGCCCACAAAGGGGATAGGTTGACTCAATTCACTGATACTCGGCTCTTCGCAACTTCTTCCAGACGTTTGCTGAGCTCGCCTGCAGCTAGGTTCATGGCACCCTGAGAACTTCACTCTCAAGCCATTGTTGTGCTAAACAAAGGCAAAACTTGGTAAAATTATGAAATAAATGTAAAACTGAAGCTATCAACAAAATCATAGCAAAACGTTTAAAACCGAAATGTAGCAATTTTTTGTGAATTTTTGGCCGTTTCCAATGAGATTCACTGGTAAATAGGCATAATGCACGTGATTTTTTAGTTTTTCAACTGCTGCCAAAAGATACATCATATTTTGGGGTCCCCTATTGCAGTTCATCGAACTTCGTGTCAAATCCAGTTCTACTGTTATCTATGATAAAATAAATAAAAATCTGTCATATGAGCGATTTTTTCGTTAACACGCCGATAACTCGAAAAGTTACCGGCCGATTTCCTTTTTGCTTTCACTATACGAAAGAACATACATTTGTGAGTGTGTATGGTGAATTTCTAGTTAATCGAACAATAAATATGGCAGTTAGAAGCCTACTAAGGGTAAGATGCCGGCTGAAGCGGGATCGGCTGACGCTGGAAACGTGGCATTCACAACTCTGTGTTTACACACTAATAACTCAAGTTTCTACCGACCGATTTTCAAAATTCGTTGACCAAATGGCCTGTACATTTCTTAGTCTTCTGACTTCTCACAAAATTTGACGCGAATGGAATATAATCAGCGGTAAGGACAAGGGCTCCGCCAACGGGGGGGGGACGGTTGGGACATGTCCCCCCAACCAAAATGTTGGGTGGGACATACTATCTTTTGTCCCCCCCCCCCCCCAATAATCGGCTCTCCCGCTGGTAGATAAATCGACTTTTGTTCCTGACACCGAATACAGAACATAGGTGCAAAGAATCTCCGAAGAAAAAGCGTGATGAGAATCTAATTAACCTGTCGTCGATAACTATATTGTCGCTGTGCTTTTAGTCTTTTTCTGTTATGGGGGCCTAGGATTTCAGTTTTTTTTTTTAGTAGACCATATCGACAGGCGTTTTCGCGTTAGGTATATCAACGTGAGTCTACTGACGCACTGGCGGATCCAGGGTGTCAGCGCGGGGGGGGGCATACCAGGTCACGGAGCCAAACCTAGGGTACCCCCAAATCCTGTTTTCTCATCGAATTTAGGCCACTTATTTTTCGTCATAGCCCTGAAACGAGTTAAAAAAAAAAAACAGAAATGGTAGGACACCTGACCCCCATTGGGAGATCCAGGAGGAGGAGGCTTTTGGGACAAACACCCGGGCAGCGCCAGAAATCGACGAAAATTGGTGGGGCCGGTGGGGCCCTCAGAATGACTGGTGTAGGTATAGAGCCGACCCAGGGCCGCCGGTGTGGAACCTTAAGAGGTATTGGCGTGGGACCATCAAAGGTATCGGTGTGGGTTCCCCAGAGGCAGTGGTGTGGGGCCCTCAGACATGGGTGTAACTTTGGAAACGACATTGGGGGTGCAAACTAGGGAAGGGGCCTCCAAGTGGCGGGGCCTCCAGTTCGCAGGGGCCTCCTAAGGAGCATGTGCCATGTACATATGTACATACATATCGAGCGAGCGAAGATTATATATAGTATAACGACATGTGTGCGGCGTTTGCCAGCGTCTAATGTGTAGGGGGGGTCGGTTGGACCCCCCCCCCCCCCTGCCGTTCGGCCCCTGATGAGCTAGAGCTTCGCGGAAAAAAAACGAGCGTGTTGCCCGTGACGAGAGGAAGCCGATGATTCCCAATTTTAAAGTCCCAGGTCATTGGTTGACCTTTCAGGTCAGGTCAATGACCCAAAAGTCGGGGAAATCGGGACCTGTTAGAACTGTGTAAAGCGAAGCTGTTATGGTTTTTTCGGGGTGCTGATCACGAATTTCATGTTAGTGTTTATTACAGATGATGTCTTCATGCATTTAGGCCAGGTCGGGTCAGGTCAGGTCAGGTCAACCAGTAGGCGTCCTGCCGGCTATCCATAGTAGGTGTCAACTACCACTGACGGCGTCGTAACATGTTACGAAGGCACTA